ATGCATTTTATACTAATTGGTAAAATATGACGATATCTAATATCAACACACACGTAATTAGTTGGCGTCCTTTTAAGTGGGAAGTTAAGGGTAGTAAAATTGTGCTAATCTACTAGCTTAAACAAAAGTTACATATGCTGATAATTGTTCTTTAAAAGCTTATAATTGCTTGACCTTGTAACTGTGTCATGACTCCCTGGACTGAGCATGCACTCAGTTACAAGTTAGCATGAGCTGGAGATTTAACTTCATTGAATGTATAATAGGAATCATTGGTGGCATATGTAATCTAGAACAGAACGTAGAAGCCAGTCAGTATAGGTACACCTCACCAATACGTTTTGTTGTTGTAAAGTGTTACGTATTGCGAACTTAAAATAGTCTGAAGCTGATATTTTAGTTAATTTATGCTATTTGCCAACAAGATTGACACACACTGTTTTCGTTTTTCACACAAATACGTTTTAATATATATATATATATATACAACAGTACAATTTACAACAACAATTATTACGAATAGTTACCACAAGCAAAGTTTTATAAAACAAAAATTTCAATAACTTACAAACAACAAAAAATATTCTTCCTAGTTCAAAGTCTCCTTGATATCCAGCGAGTTAACTTGAAGTCGATGTACGTACAATTGCCGAGAAGCTAATTAGCTTTGTCAGACACTGAATTGTTGGACCGTCGAAGTAAGATAACATTTTCATAAAACCACTAATGTGCGATGAGAATTCAGTAATACTTTCGGAAAGATACTAACGTCCAATGAGAATCCACTGACGTTCGAAATTTATAACTGTTCCTGGTCAAATGTCGTATATTTTCTGGTTGATAAGGGTTATCAAAATCACGGTTTATAGCGTACATGGTTAAAACAGGTTCCTAGCAGACTTATATGCTCTCTTTTTTGGCCTTGGTCTTTTTATATATGCGGGAAAGGTTTTTCTCGAAAGTTCGGACAACAATACTGAACTATATTTAACCGGTTACGGAAGTGGATATATTGTCGATTCTTGCGTTCACGAATATTCTACAACCTTGGAGAATTGGCGGGGGTTTCGCCATACGTAATTAACACGGTAAGCTAGGCACGTTTTTACATATAAACTCAATCCCAACTAACGTTGTCATTAAAAT